TTATAGGCGCTTTCCGGTATGGCTTTGAGTTCCCTCTGCGAATTCTGTTTTACGTCTTCTATGGATTCAAAACGCGTTCCTCTGAGTGGTAATTTGAGGTTGGGAAACAGGAAAAAGTCACACGGTGCAAGATCAGGTGAATACGGTGGCTGTTCGATGGTATTTATTGAATGTTTGGCCTTAAAATCGTTGATAATGTTGAACAAATTGAGGTGAATCGGAACAAGCCGGGCGTTGACACGTCGCATACACAAATTGTCCACCAAAATCAAACGAGCCATCTCACGACCGATGCCTAGCTCTCGTGCTATCTCTCTAACACTCACATGAGGATTTTTGAACACGATTTCCTTTGCCTTTTCAATGTTTTCGTCGGTGGTAGAGGTCGAAGGTCGTCCAGAACGCGGCATGTCTTCGACGGTCGTACGACAGTCCTGAAAGGCTTTGTACCACTCATAAACTTGAGTTTTCGATAAAACTGATTCCCCATAAGCCTTTTGTAGCATTCGCAACGATTCTGCACACGAAATTTCGTTCGAAAAACAAAATTTGATGCAAACTCTTTGTTCAATATTTTTTTCCATTGTTTTTTTCGCAACGCACTACTGAGGTGAACTGGTTTCAACAGCTGCCGTAAACGAACTGGTCTGACAGATCGCGCTCATTTTTGGCATAGTGATTAAGGACAGTGCTGCCAAACTACATAAACTTAAAATATCGAAAAATATACAGCGCGCGAATTTTAAATGAGAACCTCCGAAAACCTTTCGGTCACAATGTATATACTTGTAGAATCCTCCAAGCCCAAAACGTTAACAATTTTTATCTTGGACAGAGTTAACGTCTACTTTTTTTATTGTATCCCACTACTTAAAGACATTCGTAATTTTTATCCATCACTCTTATGGCGTTTTCGTTTCATGAATCGGGATTCAATCTAGAATTACTCACGGTCTGTTAAATTTTGTTGCCCATTTTAAGGATAATCTAACATTTTTGTGGTACACATTTTTATTTTTCCTAAATACATATATTGAACCAAATTATATCTTATTTTTCAAGTCATATAAAACAGCTGTGAATTTCAGGGTAATATTACTACTCTGGCAACTACTGTGTGAAAATTAATCTCGAGTATTATAAATTTCACTCCTAGTTTAACAATCGTAAATGCAAATTGCATTTAAAGCGAATCTCAATAGAAAAAGTTATCCCAGATCTACTTATCAAAATCAGCATTAGTTTTACATATATCTCTTACCAACTTTTTAATTTTTATAGTAAAGTAAGTTCTTTTAAACGAACAGTCCCTTTACCCGAAACGAGTTGTTGATTCCGTCGACATCTGCTTAATAGAGTTATTACTAGACTATACTATTGAGTCTTTTCCGAGGTAGTGCATCTGGGCACTTTTACTCTTTGATAGCTGGAGAGTTTCTGCAGAATCCCAGCTATCTCACTGACTAATTTGTGTATTCCTCATAAGCTTCGTGATTATTCAATGATTATTGTAAAATCTGCGTACTGCATAATCACTACCGCCCCGGTTAGTGATATCTCTACGATTAGATAATGCTAAGTAGGGCAGCCCGTCGCTTGTCGCATATAGCTTCAGGGCTATGCTATACTATCCACACGATATTTATATTCCATTTGTTATAAACCTCACGAGTTAACGAATTTCAGGAAATATTATTTTAACGTGTATCTTTTAGTAGAATACAATATAATGTAATTTAATAACAATTTTTTTCTCTCTTAGAAAAAAATAAATAAATGTCATGATATTGCATATGTATATATATAGTAATAACCACTGATGTTATGTCACCAACATCAACTTAAACAGCGTATCAGTATTTTTAAAATTTATTTTAATTTTCATTACTGAAATTCTTTCGACACTCACATTCAGTAGATAACATTTAATACAGGCAAAAACTCTTATTTAAAGAACAAACTTACTGGCATATAAAAAAAAAAAAAATCATGGAATTTCAATGCATAAATTCAAGTCTACAATGTTTTGTGAAAAATCACACAAGCATAAATGAAACGTGCAATTTCAAAAGCATACTTCATCCCGGAAAAAAATTTCTCATAAAAACTCTAAAAATAAAAGAGACTCATAGAAAACAATGGAAAGATATACAATTTTTGCTTTACAATAATTTCCAGATGAATGACACTTTCCAACAACCTGGCAGATGGCATGATTTCATACTCACACCCGAACATCGTCCAGCATCTGAGCCGCTTACACACATCATGTCCTACACCATAAAGAATCTACATCCGGGCGCTTACTATGAGGCGATTGTGCAGGCTAAGAATCGTTACGGCTGGAATGAGGTAAGTACCGCACCGAAAAAAATTAAGAAGAAAAACAATAAATAAATAAATAAACCCACAAACTAAATAAATCAATAACACGCAAGCATAAGTCAACTGATGACACTATACCAACCACCCACTTACCCACTTACTCACCACAGACGCACAGACTCACACACATACAAACATACATTAATTTAACTTATCTCAGAGTTACTAAATCTTCATTTATACTCGTACCGCTTTCAATACCGCCACTAACCAGTGTTTTTTTTTTCCCCTCTACTTCTCTGTTTTTTTTTTTATTTTTATTTTTATTTTTTTTTTTTATTTTTTTTTGTGCGAATTTTTCTTACGCTTACCAGGTTAGCGATATTTTTCAATTTATTGTTGCCAGCAACAATGTGGATATACCACCTGAGGATGCTGAAGTGGTTGCCAGCTCGAAATCACGCAGCAACGGTGGCCTCGGCTTGCAGCCGCTCTCCCTACAATTTATTGCGTTCAACGCGTTGCTTGCGGTTCTACTGATTATCAATCAAAGCAGACGTGGATTTTGTTTCGGATAAGTTTTTTTTTTATTTTTTGTTTTTGTGTTTTACACTTCAAGTGAAACCAAAACATTTATAAAACATAAATTGATATTATTTATTTTGAACAAAAACTGAAAATAAAAAAAAAGAAAAACAACAAAAACTTTAATTGAAACAACAAAAAAAATAAAAAATATAGAAGTTAAAAAACCATTTATTAATTTTTTTTAAATAATTGTTTTTTCTATATAACTTCTCTGATGTTCCAAAAATTTAAGTTTTTTACTTCACTGTTAAATAAATTTATTTTTGTATAGCTAAAAAGTGGAAAAATATATAAATTGAAAAATAATTAATATATAACAAAAAAAAAAAAAATATAGACAAAAATATAATGAAAACAATTTTAACTTTTTCAATATTAAATAATTTAAGCAATGCATAATATAAGTATAAATTTATGCAGCCCTAGTATAAGTCTTGTCTCATACGAAATTATAAAATTCATACTAAATAGTTTATACATAAGAAATATTAATATTAGTTAAGGTAATTGTGTAAAATTAATATTTAAAATTTATAGACTAACTAACACAAGAAACATTAGTTAAACAATATAGTACGAGTAATTAAATAATAAAAAAAAAACTATATAATAGCCACATATGTTTTACAATAGCTAAAATGTTACATTAAATAAACACTTATAGAATACAGTATATATATATATATATATATACACCTACAGATTTTGTAAATAAGTTGAACCAATAATTTTCTACTAAATAATTTCCATTTACAAATTTTTATTATTAAAATTTTCTAAATTTTTTTTTGTTGTATTATCTCAGGACGTTTACCTATAACATATATTCCAATATTTAGTGCTTATTAAAGTAAAGTGAAAGCTCTTTTCAACGTTGGCAAATAATATCGTTAGTACTCGTATTGCTAGTATTCCATGGAAAGTATTTCTTTTAGATGGATAGTTTTCTTGAGGGATAGAATATCTATTATCATCGCATGCTCTAACAATAACTTCTTTTTATAACGGTCCTCACATCAAATCATTTCATTTATTATCAAAATACTGCTTTACAAACTGATTCCATTACTCCATATTCTCTATGATTGATAATTGACGTACCATATAATTAAGGAACACAACGGTTAGCTTTGCAGACAATGTTTTCGTAGACCACTTTTACAACTGGGCATGTAATGTTCCTCGATATGAGAAGTATATATGGTTGAGTATTATCTTAGCTCTCCAGACGCTTGTTGTATGCTTTTAACAAATATGCAGCATAGGATATTGTTCTGATCAGCAAATATGCTGTACCAAACGTCAACTCGTAGTTTATTTGAAACAAACTTTCTAATATTTGTACGGGGGCTTACTTTTTCAAAGAAAAATTCTGATAATTCCACGTGCTTGAAACTATCAGGTGTCCTCTAACACTACTTTTCAGTGTTCGTGCTTCATATCTACAGGTAACATTTATATAGAAATGTTTTGTACTTGTGTTAGGTGCACTTTGGATCCAATTAGCTGCTTTTATTTGTTCTTGACTTGGCACCGTTGCATTTTCTTGAGCGCTAAGTACTATTTTGAGATATTTAAATGCATCCAGAATTGCAAAATGGATATTATCTATCTAACTTGACATCTCTTATTATTCGGATGGAATTTGGTATTATTTGTTCTGAACTTTCAACAACATTTTCTATTTTTCTTCTCCATTTCAAGCTCATAATACTCTCTTTCAATAATTTTTAATAATAACTCAATTATTATAATTAATGTTCCGGAATCATTTTTTTTTTGATCACAAAATTATATTTTTTAATAACATAAAACCAAAACTTAATTGTATATATAAATATATGATTCGATCACATATAGAAAGATACAAAAATAGTTATAGAATCGTCAAATAAACTGTGCAAAATATTGAAGCATAATTACTTATGCGAATTAAAGGTTTAAAATATAAACGAAAATACTTAGAATCTCAAAACGAAAAATTAATAAAATTTAATCAAAACTAATTAAAATATTTTAATAGCAAAATTTTGTATATAAGCTTTTTCAATACATTCAACATAGCATGTAATACTTGAATTTATTAATGTAAATAACACAAAAAAATATTATAAATATATATTTATTAACTTAGTTTAAGTTTGAAAGCACTCAGAAAAAATTAAATTAAAAAAAATTAAAAACACAAATTAAAAAAATGTACCACCAATTTTCTTTTGAATTTTTAAATGTTAATTATAAATAAAATAAGTAATTTGTGCGGTCAGTTTATAGTGTTAAGTTAATAAGTTGATATAAATATTTAATAAAACAAAAACACTTCAATATTATGTGTTACTAAATAAGCATAAAAAATAATTGTAAATAATGCGATAAATTGTAATAAATAATAAATTAGTAATAAAAACAACTAAAAATTAAATACATAAGCTTTTTGTCATTAATAATGCGTCAAATATTAAATGAGATCGAAACAAAAAATACTTCAAACCTAATGAATAACAAATAAATATTATAAAATAAAATGAAATATAACATTTGCAAATATTATAAGTTAATTAAGAATACAAAAAAAAAATTATATAAAAATGTGAATTATGTATGTTCGTAGTAACGCAAATGAATTAATAGGAAATACAACTTGTCATAAAATAAATATAAAAATCATATACAACAAACATGAAATTATTTGTCTGTAATATAAATAATATATAAATACATATTAAAAATTTAATTTATAATTATTTTAATAAAATTACTAATTGTAAAACTGAAAACTGAAGAACAATTGCATTTACTTCGCTGATTAATATTTCTTTTACGGTAAAATAGAAAAAAATTAAATTAAATTAACAAAACTGGCACATAAATTAAATTAATAAAACTGGTACATATTCAGTTTCAGACTTCAACCATAAAGCAAATTTAATTTATAGAGAAATATTGTTAAATTACTTTTAACACTTTTAAGAGAAAATTTATCAACAATTTAACTTTTTCCATATTTTTCCAAATTTTTCAAACGTTTTATTTTAAAACTCTTTTAGAGACAAATTAATTTAAACTTCAGCAAAAAAAAAAAAAATAAAATATAAATTTTTTTTAACTGGTCAGCAAAAAAAAATAGTTTATATATCAAAAATAATTACAAAAAAAAATAAATAAATAAATTGTGTGTAATTAATTTTAAGTGTATTTCTTAATTATAAGCTAAAATTTAAAAATGAGGGGATCTGACAGCATATGTTTCTTGATTCGTGCTATATAAAATGGTAAAACACGTTATTATTGTACTATTATTATTATAATTATGATTATGAATACCATTAATTACTAATATTAATATTATAATATATATAATATATATGTGTAAGAAATATTACTGATAAAACTAAATAAAAATAAAACTTATTTAGATGTAAAACAATGATGGTCTTTTAATTAAATCAATTGTACTCCTCAATTTTCCAATATTATAACACAGCGATGGCTTACTTATGGAATAAGTTGTCTCAGAATAGTAACATCTTATGACTCTTCATTGAAAATTGTTGCTTCAGTAAAAATTGGTATCCACTTTTTAACAAGTAACCTGATTCCATTGCAAAGTCAACGTTGATGGGTGTTTTGAGTGATGGATTATTTCAAAAGAATAATGGATGCGACAATCTTATGTGACAATGTAAACGATGGATCAATAAAAATATCTAACAAGTTTAAGAATTCCATTGCTTAGTGAGCTACTTCATTGATACTTATAAAGCGCTTAACTTATGCGTAAGTATATTAGTAACAGACTTACTTTGAATTTAATATTACTTTATAGGGGATCTACCAAAATAAGAACTCCTACTTATATGTTACCCAATAAGTCTTTTAAAATTTATTCGATGTACCAAAATAAAAAAAAATACGCAAATAAAAATATAAATTGATGGCAACTCTAAATATTAATCTTAACTTAAAATATTGTAGTATATATTCAATTTTTTATGTAAATGTTTTATCATGAATATTATATAAATAATATTAAAAGTTACAGAAATTGTTTGTATGATGCAAAAGAAGGGTTTGAATAGGTTAAAACGGGGCATGCTGATATAACTGCTAGCACTTTCACTTGGAAATATCTACTACATCTATTATGAGACCCTTAAAATTAACTAGTAGAGGCGCGTTATCTTTATTTTTACTAATATTTCTTGTTATCTACTAGCATTGTCCTCGTTAAACCATTTGGTCATCCACGTATAGTTATAGAGATCCAACAAGCCTGTTATCTTTGTCTTTGAGAAAATAGACTCCCTAAAATAGACTAATGATTATCGGAATATTTAACTGTTGATCCATCAGTACAAAGGTACATTAATATTACAATAAAAACACAAACTACAGGTTTGCTAAAACAAAAAAGGATGCTAGTTTTCCATAAAGTCATAAGGTCTTTAATATTTAAGGTGTTAAGTACTTAAGATTTTTAATCAAAGCCATAAGGTAAGCAACCTCACAGTTTTTAAAATTATTTCAAAATTGCTTTTTACAATTACTTTGATACCGTGAAATTGACTTATTTTTTGATTGTATATAGTTCATACATTGGGGTTTATATCGATAAGTCTACCTCATTAAATGTATTTTAGAACCTCTACGTC